AAGTTGCCTCATATATATATTAAAAGGAATGGCCCGAGGCTATTATACGAGCCCCGACTATTCCTCATGCGCTTAATAATTCGAGTACCATATCCTTTAGACTCATATCGGAACCCAGATTAGAGTGGACTTACAACTGACAAACATATGTCTGACCAACTGAAGCATATATATATATATATATATAGACACACATTGGGTTTCTGATTTTGCATCCTATATATATAATCTTAGAGCTAAACTTTTGAAATCATATATGTTAAAGAAGGAAAGCAAAAAATTAAAAAAAAAATAAATATAACAGATAGAAATGAAGCATGAGGAAGAAGAGGGAAAATGAGGTTGTAAGACAGCATTGGCAAAAAATGAGCTTTGTTAGGTTAAACCCTAAATATATAATTTCATATATGATGATGAAGAGTGGGAAAAAGTTCAGGTTTTGTGGTTTGGATTTCTAAAAACCCCAGCTTTTTTTATGAAGATAAGTCTTTGAGCTCATAAATTGCTCATTCAATATAAATCTAGGGTTTCTGATTTTTTGTCCTATATATGATTCTAGACCTAAACTTATGACATAATAGAAAATAAATATAACAAATAGTAGTAAAGCATGAAAAAGAAGGAAGGAAATAAGATTTTCATACAACATCAACACAAAATAAGCCCTAAACCTAAAATTTCATACATGATGATGAAGGGAGAGAAAAAGATCAGGTTTTGTGGTTGGGATTTCTACTAACCCTAGCTTTTTTATGAAGATTATAAGTCTTTGAGCTCACAAATTACTCCATCAATATAAAAAAAAAATTATAAGAAAATTAAGATTTTGTAATATCACATAGATTGGAGTTTGAATACCATAACTATTCTAAAAAGAAAAGAAGAAACTAGTCACTGAGCTCACAAATTTGAAGTTTTGCAAAGTTCTATGGCTTATGATTGGACCTTTGACTCTCATCACTGAGCCTTGACTTCGACTAGAGGGAGGTCAGAGATCAGAGAGAGAGAGAGAGATATATATATACCTGAAGCATAGGAGTTAGTCTTCTGGCAGTGAGCTGATAAGAGAGAGGAGGTGTTGATGTCATGCTGCCATTGAAGATGGGAAGAAGAACATGAAGGCTTGGACTTGAACAAGCTCGGCCAGTGCCTGTTTGATGAAGCCATGATGCTCTGATGATGAGTAATTTGAGTTTTTCACAAACCTTTCTATCTCTCTCTGCTTGTTGTGTGTGGGTGTGAACAACTTATAGAGTTAGATCTCTCTCTCTCTCTATCTCTATAACATAACTGTTTGTCTATCTAGAAAGAGAGAGAGAGAGAGAGGAGACAGACAGAAAGGTTTGTCACTCAACTCCTCTTATAAAAGCTTCCACCTAACCCTGCATTCATTTTCATGCAATTAATGGAGGAAGAGAGGTGGAGAAAGTTAAGGAGGATTGTTAATAAAAGGGGTAACAGTTTCTTACACTCCTCCCAAAGAGCAAGCAATAGAAGCCAATTAAAACTAGAGCAACAAGAAACTCCTGCCAATGCCTAACAGTAACATAAATGTCTTCAAGGGGCTGATGAAACCAAGTTATCTGAAGTTGGGCAGTAGACGAAACCTATAAATTCAAATTTAAACAATATGCAATAATTCTATATATGTTCATCAAATTTACCATGAAATAAAACCTCTTTTAAGCTATTCTAATTGTCTAGACAATTTATATTTGTAAATTATTATGAGGAAAATATTTCTTAAGAAATTTTTTAAGTGGTCTAATTTTTTTTTTTTAATTTAAAATTTCCTATTTCATATAAATAAAGAGCTATAATGACAAAAAAAAAGCTTAGTCAAGTAAAAATTTGATATATTCTACAAAAAATAAACCTATATGTACCAATTTTGCTTAGTGGCTAGCCAAACTTAGTCTCCACTGCCACTATGTGATGATTTGATGATTATTTTCACATACAAATTGAAAAAATAAGCAAAAAAGTGATAGGATTATATATATATATATATATATATATAGATATATATATATAAACTTGCTTTATGAGAGGACCCATACCTCTATGTGAGCTTTACATTAAAGGCGAGGGCTGAGAGTACACTATAATTCCCTCGTATGCCAAGCAAGAAAGGGAGGGAGGACAGCTTGTGCTGAGGCTTTTATTAGCACCACAAACAGAGAAAGGAAAAAAAGAAAGGATAGAGGATATGAGGAAGAAGATGGGCTACATGGCTTTACAATTAATGCATGGCTCCTTTCTTTAATCTTTATCTCTTTATCCCGCAGAGAAAAAGAAGGAGAAAGAGAATGGAAATTATTTTGTTTTTTTGTGTGAGACAAGGAAGGGTTGGATTTTAGGGTTTGGGGGGCAAAGAGGGTTGGGGATTAGAATAATGAAGAGAGGTTGGTGTGGGATTTAATGGAGGAGGGTTTTCAAAGGTCAACAAGGTGGTGGGGGCACGAAGGGAGGATTTGATTGGGAAGTGGTGTGGGCTGTTAGTAATTGCACATTTTGTGTTATTTGGGGTTTAGTGAGGAGGGGGGGGCCTCTTCCATTGACTCAAGGAATTTTTAATACTCTTGTGTCTACCCTTTTTTTTTTTTTTTTGAATATTTACATATATATCATCAAGTCTTATGTGTTTGCATATCTACCATAACATCTACATTTTAATTTTTTACATGCATATCATTGTATGAAAAGTGTATTATTTTAGTTTTTAAAAGTTAAAATGGTGATGTTTTATAAATTTTAATTTTTAGATGCATATCATTGTATAAAGAGTGTATTATTTTAATTTTTAAAAGTTAAAATGGTGATGTTTTTTTATGTGATATGAAAGATTCAGGAGGCAGAAATATAAAAAAAGTAAATTTTAGGTTCAGATACGTAAAAACATAATAATTGGGTGATATGTATGTAAATTCTCTTTTTTTTGGCCTCGTGATGAGTTCGGTTGACACATTATTTTTCCTATTAATTTTGAACTAATGTGCTATGAGTTGGAGCGCTACTTATGGCTTTATCTTTTTTAATTTGTATGTGGGAATTTTTTTTTTCCCTAAATTTATTTATTTTTGTCTACACAATGTAGATATAATAATGTGGTGGAGTTGTTTAAGTTTTGCATCTTTTTTTTATTATATCACTTTTTATAAATTGTGAAGTTATGTGTAGGTTGAGTTTATTAATTATAGATATTTAGGAAAGTAAGATGAGTTAGTACGTGTTGAATCCAAAATTGTGTGTGAATCACACCCAAGTAATAAAGTGTGAGAGGAGAGTTGAAAAATAAAGGGATAGAGGGAGAATTTTATGTAGGAACTATATTCTTTCAAATGAATAGTAAAAATATTTGAACCTCACTTCAATAAATGCTTCCCCTATTTTTAAAAGATTTAGTACAATAATAACTATTATATTTTTGCCCTTATCGTAATGAGGTCTACTTTAAGATATTTTTTGTTTTTATAAGCGACAACTCGTCATTTGGTCGCTTTTTGGCTCGGTCAGCTCAACATAGTTGACTTGGCTCGATGAATTTAACTTGATCGGTTTAGTTTGGTTGACTATTTACAGAGCCGTCATCTTGGCAAGAGGTCTTGATATCCATAAGACGTCTAAAAATATTTGCAGAATGGATTTTCCCTTTGGGTCGGCTCTCCTACTTGATAAACTTTTATATCGGGTTAGCTCCCTCTAATTTAAACAGTTTGACACCCTCATGATTCATTTTTGGATGAGTGGTTCTGTCGCCGACATCAATTAGCCTTCTCCTATCAACTTTCAGACTCGACTAACTTTGATGTTCGACGACTTGGCTCGTCCACCTTTACTCATTTAGCTTGGCTTGTCTGACTTGGAGGTCCTCACGATCTCTTTACAAGGAATCTTTCTTCATCGCATTCCTTTCTTCTGGACTATTAGATATTTATAAGATCAAAACTGAAATCTTTTTAGTGTACGTATTTTAGTTTCTCAATTTTCTTAATTCTTGATGATGTGATGTAATAAGAATAAGAAAACTAATTATAAAAAAAGGATCATTCAATCTTAATTAATGTCTCAATTATTGAACTCCTTTGATTTTAGAGTCTAAGATTTTTATACATAAGACGATGGGATGCATTCCCATTCCTACTTCATTTTGCCCTTTTCTTTTTTTGGGTTGACTATCTCTCGTGTATACTTTGTGTCGTTTTGAAAGTAATTTGAAATATCATATTATTGTCCTTACACAAAATCTGATATGTATGTATTTGTCAGGGCAAAAGGTTGGGACTGCCTAGAGGACGAGAGAAAAGAAAATGTTATAATGGAAAAAAATAGGCTCTCACTGTCGGATTAAGTGGGCTTGTTTGATTCGATTTTGGGTGTGGTGTTGAAAGATGCTCTACCAATTAACTGGCTTCCTAATTTGACTGCCCAACACCTGTCATGACACAAGACGCTCATGCCACATAGAATGCTCCAATAACTTATGGTGTGCTTCCAGCGCTTCCATTAGTGCAACATGGTGAGCTTACATTGTATGAATTTATTTAGTTATTTGGTACGAGGGACTTTCTCTAGTATTTATGGCGTATGGCCTTTGGTTTTTTGTTTGAAATATCCCTTATGATGCAAATAGTCTGATGCAACTCCATCCTAATGAGGCTCTAACCAAACCACAGAGGAGCGAAAGTCACATAGTATGAAAGAGATGGTGAGGTTGTCCGCCCCAAAAATTCTCCGCTTCTCACAAAAGCACGAGATGAAGTCGTAGGAGGGGTCTGGACATCCCATGGGCTGTTAGCTTGCCACATGGATGCGATTAAGAGTTCCTTCATTCGGTCGACTATGATCTAACAAGATGATGAGATACGAGAGTTGTTGATTTGTATGGAAAATGTGGATGACATAGTAATGACTCTTGACTAGGAGCTTTTAGATATGTGAGCGTTGTTTGAAATTTTTTAGGTGCAGTCTGAATCTATATATATCCAGAAGAAAATTCTTATATAGTTGAGGCATCACTCAACCAAAGAGACGTCTTATTCTTTTGTAATATATTTTGCTTTCTCATACTGATTTTGGAGCGCTTTTATTGTAATATAGGTGTAGGTGTCATTTTTGAAATAAGATATATTTTCTTGCTTTTTGTGACATTTTAATTTTATTGACAATTCATTACGTGATTAATGTTTGTTTACTTCCAATTTCTCCTTCTCATGAGGTTGAGTTTCATTTGTTCCCCTATATATATGAAGGGAATTTCGGGCAAGCTTCCTCTACTCTCTTTTTCTCTCCCAATTTCTCAAACTTTAGTGCTCCGCTTCAGTGATAGATTGATGGCACCCAAGTATGTTCCAAAGGACTTTGGGATGCAGCCTCTGGATGATCAATCTCACATGACTTAGAAGTAAGTTGCCTCATATAGTGGATTCATGTTTTTTATGCTTCTATCAAACTTTAAATCGGTCACTAGGTAGATTGGGTGATGATCTCATTGTTGTTTATATGCAACAGTATAACCATGTCTTTGATGATATTTTTCAATTATGTTTCCAACTTTGCAACAGAACCAAAAACTTAATTTTGGAGAAAATAAGAATTTAAATTTTTAATTTATATATATTGGGATACTACGCAAGTATACGTATCGTTATCAAGTAATATAGGACTTTTTGATTAAGACCTGAATATCGAACCCACAGG